CCCCCCCGTTTTTCATCCCATTCCCCACTCCACCCCCACAGAATGTCTCTGGTATATGGTTGTTCATTATTTTTGTTATTTTCTCGCCGCTTCAGACTAATTTTTAACCTAAAATGACTCCTGGAAAGATCAGGTCTATAGACACTGGCTTTTTATGCCTGTTGTCTGTCTGAAGATTCCTAAGAACTGTCTCTAGAAGTGGGATTTGGATCATATGGACTGGGTTGGCTTTTGTTTCTCTGATGGGATAAGTTAATAGATCATGTAGATGGGGCAGAAATGGGAACAGTGTAGGTTCCCACCTTGAAGGGGCAATTCTCAGGGTGGGGAAAAGCTGTACAACATCAGGATGTTATACTTACTGTCTAAAGGTTGATAATTGTTCCAGAATGCAAACAAAGTAATGACTTTTTGGACAGTAAAGAAGAACTGAAAAGGAAATCATAAAAAGAAGTAAAAAGTTGAGAGTTGACTGATTAGAAAACCTAAAGGAAATAGGACAGGATAAAAGGAAAGGAAACAGTTACATTAAAGCTTTTACACTTAAGGGCCCTTTCTGGTGGCACAGCAGGTTAAAGCACAGCACTATGAAGCTGTCGAAGCCACTGCAGCAAATTTGAATCCTGGCTAGGGAGGTGACCCACATGGTGTGGCAGACCTCTCCTCACTTGCCCACTCCTCCCCTTAGCAGTGTATTTCAGTCTGCCTTGTCTGTTCTGCACTCCACTCTGTCTCTGGTGAATCCTCTCAACCTGTGCACCTGGCCTGTACCCCAGTTCTTGTGTGCATAAACAAATAGATCTTTTTAAAAAAGCTTTTACATATATAATACAGAGCTTTTATACTTTATAATAACCCCATATGATTGAATGAGGTAAAATAAGTGATACTTAAAAGAAAGAATTAAATGAAAAAGTAGTAATCTAACATTAGAAAAAAATTTTTTTAAAGATTCGTTTTATTTATTTATGGATACAAGAGTTGGGGTACATGCCAGAGTTGTGTGGGGTGAGAGGATTCACCAGAGACAGAGTAGGGAGCAGAACAGGTGGATTGACTGAAATGTACTGTTGAGGGGGGGAGTAGTGGGGAGACAGGAGAGGTCTACTGTGCCATGTGGATCAGCTCCCTGGCCAGAGATCAGATTTCATGCTGCAGTGGCTGCGGGTAGCTTCATAGTGCTGAGACTCATTTGTGCTACTACAGAGGACAAGGAAAAGATGTTTTTCAATAAGAGTCGTGAACACATAATCTCTTTAAAGTTAAAAAACGTTATTACAACATTTTTCTTTATAGTATTTACTACAGTGTAATTAAATAATTACTGGGGCAAGTACCTGTTTCATGTATGTCTCCCCTCCTAGAGAGAGGGGGTTCGTGCCTACTGCTGTATACTAGAGCATGCCAGAATGCCAGCAACATATAGCTAGCTAGAAAAGCCTTAGTTTATTTGAAGAAAAACCACAGCTGGTGTTGTGTCCATTTGAATTTTGTTAAGTAAAATTTGAATTTAAAGTAAGAGACCTAAAGACAGATAAAGAGGCCATCAACAAGAGGAGGAGGAGATAAAGAAGTGTACAAAACAATGCGGAAAAAGTTAGCAAATGCCTTAGCAGTGAGTAATTCTGGAATAATGCTAAATTTGCTAAGTCTTATTATCAATTCTCAGTAGTGAGAGAAGTAAAAAAGGGAAAGAGATGTAATCAGAAACTCAGCTTGGCAGTGTTCTCTCTTCACCCCTCCCTAGGTCAGAGCTCCTGGGGTCAGTGCCCTTTGGGGGGCACCTTTGGATTTTCCTTTTGGGGATAGTGCTCTCGCAGTACCCCTTCCCTTTTTATTGAGCTGAAATATTAGTATATAAAACAAAACAAAACAAAAAAACCTTTTAAAGTGAACAATAATGTTGTACAACCAGTTACCATAATTTAATTCCAAAACATTTTGTCCCCCCAAAATGGAGTCTGGTGCTCGTTTGTGTTGGTTTCCTATCCTTTCCAGCATCTGGCAAGCCCCAGTCTGCTTTCTGTCTTTAAGGGCTTTTAATTGCAGCTGTTGGCGTGGATATGCTATAGGCAAAGAGATTACTTGATGTTAGAGGCCTTGGTAATTCTGGAATTCATATCTCTTTTAATACAAATTTACTTCTTTAATCATATACATTGTAAGTTGCAAGTGGAATTGATGTGTGCATTTTATTTTAAACTTAGGAATTCTCTTCGTGCTTTATATCCTAAAGCTAGAAAAGAGAATAAGCCCCTTGATGGTCACACACCAGTGACCTAGGAGTCAGATATTTGTGTGTATTTGAATCTCACATTTGTGCCTTTGTACATTAAAACCGATTTCAAGCAGTGATACTGGGCTGGATAGCTCCGTGTTGTGGGAGCTGCCTTTGCATGTAGGGGGTGTTTAGCAGCATCCTAGGACTAGGAGTCAGTAGCAAGTCTGACCCCTCTAAGTTGTGGCACTAAAAATATCTCCAGATGGCGCAAAATGCCCCCCCCCCCCCGCTCAAGTAAGATCACCTCTGCTTGACAACCACTGCATTAGAATCTTCCTCTTGAGAATTTTGACTTTTGCTTTAAATAGGAAGAGACTGTCAGTATCTTATTTGTTAGATATAGAGTCATCATGTCAGCTACACTTCAATTAAAAAGAAATCAGATAGGGAGGTGATGCCTAGTCATTGATTTTTATAACTTTTCCAAACTGGCCATTCTTAGTAAATTTTTATTTTACTTTTTAATTTTAATTTTTGACAGTATTTTCTGATATGTAAGAGTTATGTATTGTTTGGCTATGCTTTGATAAATGAATTCAGCTTGATTGCCTAACAGGAAGTAATTTCATGGAAAAAGTAAATACAGCCATGTGAGTTTCTTCAGAAACACTTGAAACATTCAAACTATTTTAAAATAATACCTTAATCAACAGTTGAAGGAAAGAGGGAGACCTATTTTCTTTGTTATTAAAAGTATCTACACTGTTTTCTCTAGTATAAGGACTTTTTGGCCACTATTTAAATCTTGGTACTTCTCAGTAACCACATGTTAAATGAATTCTATTTTAAAAGGAAGGTTTTATTCTATCTAAAATTTGTTTCAAAATAAATTTGTAGCCTACCTTAAGTATTTTAATTTGTAAAATTAAGTTTATAAGGATTGTACTGCTATGAGCCAGCTTGTGATTTTACTCTAATTAAGCATTATTGGAGATAAAACCTTGGGAGGGATGGTGGAAGAGAGCCAAAAATGGGGAATGTCAATATAATATTCGTAGGTATTATTTCTTAGGTGGTAGGGTTCAAGATTACATCTCGATTGGCTTTTTATTGGACATAGATAATTTTTTTAAAGATCTATCTATTTATTCATACAGAACTGGGGTACAAGCCAGAGGTGCAGGGGCAGTGAGAGGATTCATCAGAGACAGAGTGAGGAGCAGAACAGGCAGACTGATAAAGTACACTGTTGAAGGGATTGCGTCATGGTCAGGAGGGGTCTGCCAGGCCATGTGGGTCACCTCAGGGGCTGGGGATTGAACTCGTATCGAAGCCACCTTGGCTAGCTTGCAGTGCTGCATCCTAACACATTGCGCCACCAGGGAGGGCCCAGATATAGATAATTTTTAATTAACCCATGAGAAGAAAGAAAATCCCACGAAGTGGAGCTTTTGTTGTCTTCTGTACCTAGTGAAATTCATTTTATATAAGCTTCTAGTGCATGGGAGGAAGAGATGAAGGTGACCCCTATAAAATTAATTCCTATTTTTCCTTTGTTACCTGTGTGGAGAGAGGTGTTACTAGTATTGTATGTTTCTTATAAGAATGCCATGCTTTGCCTGCTTTACTCTTCCCCAGAAAAGTTCAAGTGTCTCTAATACCTTCTTATCCTTTCCCTCAGGGACTATGTTAGGAGTGAACTGGAGTCCGCCTATGAAGGACCAATGTATTTAGAACCTCTTTCCATGAATCGTTTTACCACAGCCTTAATAGGTAAGTATTGTAGAAGAATGCCCATACAGAGGAAACTGAAAAATGTCCAACTTACTCATGGTCACTAAATATAGCCACTATCATTAAATGTTTTCAGTAACTCCCCCATTTTTTAAGTGTTTATAAATTGTTTAAGTGTTTTACATAAGATTTTTCTTATATAGTGTATTTATAGTCATATAGAGCCCACTGTTGGCTTGCATCTTTCTGGGGGGTACTTTAAATATCTGTGAGGATTAATACTTATTTTTATTATTTCTTTAAGATTAATTTTTCAATAAAGTTTATCATAAGCCTAAAATGAAATTTATAGTCTTAAATAAAGCTGCTTATTATTGTTAAAAGCCATCACTCTAGCAGCAAAAATAAATTGCCAGAAACATCAAGAAATTGATTCAGGATTGAAATGTTCAGATAGTGGAAACAGAAATGTTAGCCAAGACCTGTGAGCAATGTAGACATAGTCAGGCCTCCTATAACAGGGTTGCAAAAAAGGAAGTGAGAGAAAACCTGTTTTGTGACTCTTAAGTTCACCAAAATAGAGGTATGAATAGTCTCACTGTTAGAGATTGAAAGAGGATTTCTCCATAAAGAACAGTTTTCTCCAAAATACCTCTCTAGCCTTTCACATTTGGAGAATTCACTGTGGACCTTTAGGAGACTCATGTATCTAATGTGGTTTTGTGTGTGTGTGTGTGTGTGTTAGTGGTATGTATGCTGTGTGGACTGCTGTCTGACCAGCCCTGCAAAATTAAAAGTTGTATCCTCTAAAACTAGCTACGTATGCCTTTAGAGCAATGCAGCTAGGTCCGATTAATATATAATATAAATATCAACATACACCTGTTTTCTAAGACTGAGCACAAAAAAATGCAAATATCTTGTTAATTTATTGGTATTAAATGAGATATCTATATGAAAATATGTGTATTAAGTTAAATAAAAAAGATTGCTTATTCCATCTGGGGTTTTTTTTTTTTTTTTTTTTTTTCATTTCTTTTCTGATTGAGACTGCCAGGAAATTAAAAAGTACTTACTTATGGGGCTTCTAAAATTTCATAAAGGCCCACAGTGGGTTGGCTGACTGTGGCATGTATTGACTTGGGATTCTCCTGTCTGATATATGTAGGCAGGGATGTTAGTTTCCTTTGAACTAGAATCCCCAAATGTCTTGGAGGATTTCATAGGTCCCTTTCAAGAGGGACCTGTAGAAAGATGAGAAGATCCCAATAGGGATTGAAATTCCATATTTCTAGGAGCTAAGCAAAGAGCCAAAAACAACCAGAAGGTACCTAGCAACTCTGGGAATGCTGCAGACTAGAGACTGGGAGTGGGGGAAGTCTCAGAAGAACCCAGGAACCAGTTTGGAGGAGACCCGCTTTCCTACCCCATCTCTTGGTGTGTGCCCAAGAATAAGAATTTCTTATTCTTTTCCCTCCCCTTCCATTCTGGACAAATCCGGAGGAGAGGGGTTTTGTTATAGGTAGTCTTCTAGAAAGTCTCAGCTAAAAGGAAGCCTTAGTTTTATTTAATATATTTTATTGTAGGAACATTGGTTTACAACACTGTAAATTATTTGGTGGTATAGCTTTAAACCTCTTCAGGTTCATATTGCAACACCATAGCACCCATAATCCTCCACCTTACTCTATTGAAAATGCTTCAACTTTAAGTTAGTTTAAAATTTTGCTCATCATTAGATTGAGACTCTTATTTAAAGTAACAGGACTTGCTTTAGGGGCAGGAGAACAATAGTCTTCACAGAATAGATTTTAAAAGACAATAGAAATAATGTCACTTTCTGACTTTTCCTATGAATTAGTATATTCAGCAATGGTAACATACAAATGTGAAAATACTTGCCAGGCAAGAAAACTTGTATTTTCTTTTATTCTGTAACGGGTGCAATTTAATGTAAAACAAACATTTCTTTTAGTTTTCCTGTTATTGGCTGTGATAGTCTGTTTATTCAATTAAGATTCAGCTAATTGGAAGTAAAATCTAAACTATTAAGTAGCATGTTTTCTTTTGAATTTGATTTTAGAATAATTTTTGTCCCATTCCTTCCATTCTGGTGAACTTTTAAAAAATTTAAGTTTGACTATGCCACCATTTCTTAGAATTGTGGATTTCCTAGAGAGATTTCTGGTAGAGAAATCTCATATCCAAAGAGCACAGTTTGATTTTGATTTATGCAGAATTATTGGTTGGAACAGGCACATGGGAGTAAATAACCTTATTTTTCTGGAGCTACAGGAAAGATTTCAACTAACAGAAGATTCCTTCCCTTTTTTCATCTAAATAGGATTTCCCTTAAAAAAAGGGAAAAAAAGTATGCACGTGTGCTATATATATAGCACTGGAATCATCTTCTGTGAAAGAAGTTAAATGAAGTATGTAACCCCAGAGCTGACCACTGAATGTGCTGGCTTAGGTTAGGGAACTTTCAGAGCTTAAAGGAAGTTTACATCATGTGGAACGAGGAAATTTAGACTTCAGGGCACGAACACAGTGAGGTGCGAGGTGCCAGTGTGACAGCTCTAGTCCTGCCCAGTATTAAAATTCTTCCTCCAAGCTCTCTATTCTTTCAGACTTCTAGCTTGCAAATTTTTTAATCAAAGAAGTAGACATACTATTTTTCTCTTTTCTGTTTTTTATAATTAGGCTGACATTTTTTTTTTAAAGATTTATTTATGCTTACAGTACTGGGGTACAGGCCAGAGGTGTGGTGAGTGAGAGACAGAATGGGGAGCAGAAAAGGCTGACTGATGAGGTACACTGCTGAGGGGAACAGCAGGTGGGTCAGGAGAGGTCTGTTGTACCATGTGGGACACCTCTGGGGCAGGCGGGGATCGAACTAATGCTGAAGTGGCTTTAGCTTCTTAGTGCTGTGCTTTAACCTTCTGTGCCACCAGAGAGAGCCTGACTGACTTGTTACTGACTTGTTTTTAATAGTCAAACACCACAGTTTTATGGTGAACATTAGCTGTATCCCTCACTACCCATCTCTTTTTCCTGTGCTTTCTCCTCACCTCCTTCGTCCCTCCCCTTCTTCCAATGTCTTTTTTATTTATTAGCTATATTACTGCTTTAAGACTATTATAATTTCTTGAACTTTTCGCTTATCCCTTGAATTCTCTCTGTTTTCTCTGAGATCTTTTTTCTGTTTTGGTCTTCTTATTTATCGAGCCTCGCTTAGAATTACCTGGTTATATTAAATAAAGAATTATGAAAACTGATGTTTAGACTCTACTTGAGGCTAACTGTATTCTAAGTTTTACTTAAGTATCTGGGGTTCTTGACTAAATCATTTGTATTAAAGTGAGTTATTAAATTGTTGATGGGAATCTTCTTAGGCCATACCTACTAGTATGCTCCTCTGTGGGTAATAAGTAGGAGTGGCTGTTTGGAGGAGGGAGAAGATTCTCCCATGTGAGTTTTGTAGACCTTTTCACTCTTGTAGGTCAGTTCTCACTCAGAGGATTCTTTCTTACCTGTAGAAGAGCTGCGCAGAAACCTAGAACTGTGTGACACCACACTTGGCACAGTGCATAGAGATATCATCTTTCATAGTCGAGACTGGCGCAAAACTGCAAACTAAACCGCAGCCACGTCAGTGTGAGATCGATTCCCAGCCCCGGAGGTGATCCACATGGCACAGCAGACCTCTCCTGATCATCTGCTGCTCTCCTCAGCAGTGTACCTCATCAATCTTCCTGTTCTGCTCCCCACTCTGTCTCTGGTGAGGCCTCTCACCACCCCTGCACCTCTGTCTTGTACCCCAGTTCTGTATGCATAAATGAATTATTTTTAAAAAGATTTATTTATTTATGCAAACAATAACTGGTATAGGCCAGAGATGTGGGGGGTGTGTGTGTGAGAGGATTTACTAAAGACAGATAGTGGAGCAGAACAGGCAGATGTACTGAAATATGCTGCTGAGGGGAGCAGTGGGTGTGGATAGCTTCATAGAAGTGCTGTGCTTTTTAACCTGCTGTGCCACTAGCGAGGGCCCCAGACTTTTAGTTTAATCCCCTCTTTCCCATGGGCTGTGCCAAGAAGCCTGTCCATGTTTCCAGAAAGCAGATTTCCCTTTCAGAGAGGGAGAGTAGTCCTGGCAAATACCACAGCTGCCTTGTCACTATCCTTTAAACTGACATAGGTATGTGTGTATCATTCTGTACTTACTGGCCTCCTCTATTTTCTTTATTATTGTGAATTTTAAGATTTACATATTTATGCATACAAGAAATGGTACATAGGCCAGAGGTGCAGGGGGTGAGAGAGTGGGGAGCAAACAGGCAGATCTACTGAAATACACTGGTAAGGGGAACAGTGGGCAAGATAGGAGAGGCCTGCTGCTTCATAACAGTAGATTACTAATAAATGTTCAGCCTTAGGTTAAATGGTTGCTGTTTTTATGTTCTTTTAATAATTATATGGTAGAACACAATTCAAAATGCCAAAAGAGGATATATGACACTGAATGTATATGTTTTGCTTTCAATGGTAAGAAGGAAGAGAATTTGACTAAATGATTCTTAAAATTATCTGGGAGATGACATGTTCACAAATTTCTGGGAAGTTCTGGAAGGTGTAGTGAAAATGATATTGGTCTGATGAGTGACATGGAACAACATGGTTTTGCTGTCAGAGTGAATGATTAAACAAAAGTAGCAAGTTCCAACACAGATCAAGGTTTACAGAAGATTTTGAAGTATGCCAACGTGACATTTCAAGTTAATGAGAAAAGGATTAAATGATTCCAATAGCTAGTTTTTTTATTTTTTTAATTATTTTTATTTATTTATGCATACAAGAACTGGGGTGTGGGCCATAGGTGTTGGGGTGAGGGGAGGTGGTGAGAAAATGAACCAGAGACAGAGTGTGGAGTAGAACAGGCAGATCCACTGAAATACACTGCTAAGGGGAGCAGTAGATGAGAAGCGGTCTGCTGAACCATGTGAGTCAGCTCCCTGGCAGGGGGTTGAACTCATTGTGCAGTGGCTGGAAATAGCTTGATAGTGCTGAGACTTTAATCCCTGTGCCACCATGGAGGCCCTCAATAGCTAGTTTTGAGACAAGTCACTATCTAAAAACAAAACTAGATCTTTACTTTCTATCTTATTCTAAAGGAAAATGTATTGATTTTTAATGTTATTTGGTAATGTGTTGCTTTTAAGATAAAACATGGCTAAAAGAAAATAGAGGTGAGTCCTTGTCTGTTGTGAAGGGGCAAGCCACATAATTAATTGTGGCAGCTGAATTGGAAACCACAAAAATAGGTTTGATTGCTTACAGTAAATACTTCTGTAAGAGAAGAACATTACTAAAAACATTCAGACAAATGATACTTTGGGAAAAAATGATCACACAATAAAGGATTAATGACTTGATCTAACAGCAGAAGCCTATACATCTTGGCAGAATTGATAAAGAGTATGGGCCAGCATTTTACCAAGAAACTGCACGCTTTTATCCAGTATTGGTATTATTTACTTCTACTAGTAACCAACAAAATACCAATTTTAAAAAGTTCAGAAGTATTTCTTGTCCTTCTTCATACATTATGTTTACTGTTCACAACTCAGAAGGAAAATGAGCACCCTGTACTCTGGGCATTTGGTTTTGGGGAATAATCTAGCAGTGCGTATCCAAAGCCTTAAAAAAATATTCGCTGAGGGGAGCAGTAGGTGAGACAGGAGAGGTCTGTCATACCATGTTGGTCACCTTCCTGGCCAGGTATTGAACTTGTGCTGAGGTAATTATGGATAGCTTTGTAGTCCTGTGCTTTAACCCATTGCGATACCAGGCAGGGCCTACTCCCCCCCCCCCCCAAAGATTTATTTATGTGTACAAGAGCTGGGGTAGAGACCAGAAGTGTAGGGGTGGGATGAGAGGATTCACCAGAGACAGAGTGGGGGGCAGAACAGGCAGATCTACTGAGATACTCTGTTAAGGGGAACATCTGGCCAGACAGGTGGAGGTCCGCTTTGCCGCATGGGTTAGCTCCCTGTCCAGGGATTGAACTTGTGTTGCATTAGCTGTGGATAGCTTCCTAGTGCGGAGATATAAGACATTGTGCAACCAGTGAGTCCATTCATAGAAGTTATTTTAAAATTATGAAATATATGGAAATAGCCAAATGTTAATATTATTCGTACATTTAGTGTATTATCTAGACAACTGAAAAAATGAACTGTGCATGTATGTGTATTAGTGGGAAGTGATATTATACAATGTATGTGACTGTTATGTATGTGCTGTCATTTCCTTTATGTAAAATATTTGTGTGTTTAACATGCATAGGATAAATCTGGAAAGGTAACATAATATGAATACTTAAGTTTCACTGAGAACTTGTGCTTTAGTTCCAGTACTGACGTTACTAACAATGCTACATTTGGGTGGTTGAATAATGAGAAGATGAGGTGATTTCCCCCACCACCACCTCTTTTTCACTCTTCTGCGTTTTATATAATCACATATAGTTGTCTAGAAGAATAATTGTCTAGGAGAATTTCTTGCTTAAACTTTTTCAATTTTAATCTTTTATTATTGAGTCATTTGCAAAACCTTGCATGGGCTTATATAAAATAAAGACTTAAACCCCTGGACAGATCTTCTTGAGGTAGTATGATCTTGGCTATTTGCCTTTTGAATTTTATGGTTTTGCCTGTAGTTAACAGCCGTTAAACATTAAGGACCTTTGAAAAAAAGAGTATACATAAAGTCACTTACTTATTATAATACTGAATTTGATATTGTAGAAAGCCATCTGAAGTCTGAGTATGACCAGTGGGCATTAGTTGTGTTGCATTTTTCAAATGTAATCCTAGGGAATTGGTGTTCAAAGTTCATAGTTCATGAGTACATGCCATTATGGTCAGATGAAGGTAAACATTGATTAAAAGTATTATCTAAGAGGTCTTAAAAGTCTTCTTCAAAAGCTGTGTCATCGTTCTGATCATCTTATTTATTTTTTGTCTTTTCTGGGTACTGAGTGCTCAAAATTAAATGCCTGCTGTTCCCTGTTTTAGGTCAGTTGGTGGTATGTACTTTATGCTCCTGTGTCATGAAAACGAAGCAGATTTGGCTTTTTTCAGCTCATATGCTTCCTCTGCTGGCACGACTCTGCCTGGTTCCTCTGGAGACCATTGTTATCATCAACAAATTTGCTATGATTTTTACTGGATTGGAAGTTCTGTATTTTCTTGGATCTAATCTTTTAGTCCCTTACAACCTTGCTAAGTCTGCATACAGAGAATTGGTTCAGGTAAGACTGACAATCCACTCAGGTAGATAAAATCTTACATATCAGTAAGCACATTAAAGATTTAATAATCTGCTCCTGTTCTGTTTCAGAGTTGTAGCTTTTTTCAACCCAATTAGGAGCATATGAGATTCTTTATTGTGCAATTTTATCAAGAGGCAGTGAAGTAAAGCAATTGGATGCAGACTTTTGTTTGCTCTATCTAAGAGGGCTGCTGTCTACTCTTTGTGTAACCAGGGGTAATCACTTTGCTCAGTTTATCTGCAAAATGGAGCTAATAATAACAGCTGCACTTAACTCATAGGGTTGCTGTGAGATTGAAATGGTTTCATTGCCAGGCATGTAAACTTGTAAACAAGACAGAAATAATAAAGAATAGCATAGGTAGAAATACAACCCTGATATTTTTCCCTCCTTATTATATAATCCAGCTGTGACCAGTTTCTTTCCTGTGTTTGTCGTATATATTTAAACTCTGAAGTGAAATTGTTCTGAGCTATGATATGATGGATTTCATTTAGATAGAATAATTGAGCTGACTTTGGATTACTGTTTTTCAGTCTTTTCTCTGTGATGGATTATTCCCAGACACAAGCAATAGCTATTCAGGACATAGTTTTTTCCATTCAACTTAATTGTTGAGTTTCACTTAAAATAGATTTTTGAAACTGACATTGGTGTAAGGACATTGGTGACATTAGTGTGTATATTCCCTTTACTTCTGGACCAAGTGTAACTGACTTATAGGTATAGGGAATTAATAGATTGACTGATGCCATCAAACAAGACAATATTTTTGTAGTTGCTGTTGCCCCAGGGATAGACTGGCTGGAAAAATTTTCCAAGTTCCTGGCCTTGGGCTGATTCTACATTCTTGGGTAATTTTACTCAGAGTAGATCTTCCAAGGGAGAGGAGAGGATTTTTAGATCAGATAGAGGTTGCTACGTGAGGAAAATTTGAGGTTGTATTCAGAGTAAGAATGGTACCTCTGGGTGTTTTTTTCTTCCAGTTCAGTCTTGTGGAGGTAGCCTAGCTTGTAATAAACAGTAGATATTCAGTAAATATTAATAGAAAACTGAATGCTTCATCAGCATTTAAATAAAAAAAAAAAGGAAAAAGAAAAACCCTGGAGCCTCTGTTTCCCAATTTCATATGCTAGCTTTAAGCTTCATGTGTCACTTAAGTGTTAGAGTTGAAAATAAATGGTAAGTGATAAAAAGTGTGACCTGGAAAGAATTGGATAGGCAGGAAATGAAATCTGTCAGGGTGTTTTGTAGACTGTTTGAATACGGAGGGAGGAGAGCACGCCATCTATGACTGATGAATTTGTTGTTTGCTGTTTACAGACTTGCAGTTAGTTGGGTAGTTTCCTTTTTTTTTCTTAATATTTTCTAATGGGGGGGGGAATGGAGTTTAATTGTTACTGGGCTTTAGATAAAGTTCTTAATTTGGGGCTGAAAAGATTTCAATTTAGAATAACCTCAATGTATCTTAACCTAATATTTCAAGATTGTTAACTACCTGTTTTCTGCTTTGAGATAGATGTTAATCAGAAGCCAGCACAACTTGCAAGACTATGTCTTTCAACTTATTATCACTATAGTTAACATTAGGTTAGAGTTCATAGGCTGCCTGACAGAACCCATTTGTGTTATCAGGGTCTGGTGCCGGGGTTATTTAACTCCAGAATCCTGGTCACATCTCTACTCCAAGGTTCAGCCAGACTGAGAATTGATGCCTCCTAATCAATCATTAGATTGTACGGACATAGTAAACTAACTTTTTTTTTTTTAGGTGTACTTTTTTTCTGGTGTTGTTAATGTATTGGCTGACCAAAAAAGTTAAGAAATTTTCATGATACATACATAGGGAATTGATTTGTCTGAGAGAGCTGATTTATAAACTATCTTTGCTTTGTAATAAACTTACCCAGTAGTTAAATATTTTGGTCTTGTATCAAAATACATCTTATCTCTGGCATTCCTGAGTAAACCTGAAAAATTCTTGCTTTGACATTTCCCTTTACCCCATTTTCTCAAACACCTTCCCATCACTTCTTCCTTCAGGCTAGTCCTGGCCACTATCAAGTCTTAACCACTACCTCTGAAGTAGTATCATTCTCCTTGCAACTTGATTTTGAACTTATTCCTGAACATTAGGGGAATTTATTGTTGCCATTGGACATTTGTATGTCAAGTGTTAATGCGAAATCATTAAGTTAAAAAAATGTTATTTATTGTCTGTAGAGCTAACTTTAAAGGTACTTAGTTGAAGCAGTGGTGTGATCAGACTTCTTTAAGTATTTTAAACTGTTTTGTGCTTAAATGTGTTTATTGAAGTAATACAGTTGTTTTTCTATTTATTCAGGTAGTGGAGGTGTATGGCCTTTTAGCCTTGGGAATGTCCCTGTGGAATCAGCTGGTAGTCCCTGTTCTTTTCATGGTTTTCTGGCTCGTCTTATTTGCTCTTCAGATTTACTCCTATTTCAGTACTCGGGATCAGCCTGCATCACGTGAGAGGCTTCTTTTCCTTTTTCTGACAAGGTAAGCGATAGAGTCCATGATACTTTTCATACTTGGGTAAAAAAAACTTTAGGAATAGTAAGTGTTGCAAATTGACTTCTGTTAGTCATGTTATGGTCCTTCATATTAAAACAGGGTTTTCATTCAGTTGCTGCCTAGGTCTGGCAGTATAGGGATGCACTAATACAATAACTGTGATGGCTCTGGCTACACCAGGGGTCAGGCGCAGCAAATGACCTGTGGAAGGGGTACATGGCACGTTGTAAAAAAGTGGTGTTTTAGTTTTTTTCCATTTTCAAAGTTAAATGATTGGGTCAATGAGAAGAAATGTCATTTACTCAATATTTAATATGTACCGGTCACACACTGCTGAACATTTTCTCCCACACTTATCCTTATAGAAATCCTGCAAAATAGGTACCTTTATTGTCATTTCCTCTACAGCTGAGGAAACTTAACTGAGTAGTTGCTTGCCCCAGTGGACACTGATAAGAGCAGCAGTACTAGCCCCAAGAGCCCATCTGATTGTAAACCTTGGGACTTTGTGCCTTTCCTTGTTTTCAGTATTCTGCTTGACTGTGGAGATGGGACTAATGATTGGTGAAGTGAATATTTCATAGTGCCTCTACTATTTATTTATTTTTTAAAGATGGATTTTATTAAATCTATGCATACCAAGGGCTGGGGTGTAGGCCAGAGGAGCAGGGGGAAGAGGGAGTGAGAGGATTCAAAAGAGAGAGGAGGAGAACAGGCTTAATGACTGAAATACACTGCTGAGGGGAGACAGGTGAGACAGGAGAGGTCTGCTGCACCATGTGGGTCAGCTCTCTGATTGGGGCTTGAACTAGTGCTGAGACTTAACTCCTTGTGCCAGCCAGGAGACCCTACCTCTACTATTTAGCCCAAAGGATTTTTGAGACTTGGCTTCTAAGGTTTAACTTAAAAAAATAAATGTTTCAAGTCACTAACATCATTTCTGCACTTCCTGTCTCTGTGGTGAGCATGTGTAGGATCTGCTTTCCCACTAAGAGTTTGAATCTTAGGTCCTCAAAATCCAGCACATGGTTATACATGTTAGTTCTCTGGCTCATTATCTCTTTAAAATGCAAGAATGGAATTCTGTAAAGGCAATGTAGGAGGATGAAAGTTTTAATTGTAGTTAGCAATGCCACCTTTTCTTAGGTATCCAGAACATGGTACAGGTTACGATTGCAGACATTACACAGTGTTAAATGTCAATAGAAAAGTCATGGGACAATGCTTATTTAAACAAATATGTAGACTACATTTATTGCTACTGAGTCAGATTTTGTACTTTCTAAAAGTCCTTTTCATTGACAAATATCTTTTACAAACATTCAGTAGCTTTATCTCAGTCGGCCACATTTTAATGGTCAGTTCTTTTTAAACTGTATATTATGGAGGTTTTGGGGCAGAATTTTAAAACTTCAACTACCCCACCCTGAATTTAAAGAGGAAGAGTACAATCCTGTAATGGGATAATAACCTGAATAATCAGAATATTAACCACTGTAAAGCACAATCAGTACACCGTGATATAATAGTTAGCAAATGTGTTTTTAACTTATTTTTCAAAATAGAACAGTATTTAAACATTTTTTCCCCCAAGATTTTACTTATTAATGCATACAAGAGTTGGGGTGTTGGCTGGAGGTAGCGGGTGTGAGAGGATTCACCAGAGACAGTGGGGAGCAAAACAGACAGATTGACTGGAATACACTGCTGAGGGGAGCAGCAGGTGAAACAGGAGAGGTCTGCTGTGCCATGTATGGGTCAGCTCCTTGGTCAAGATTGAACTTTTGCTGCTGAGTGGCTTCAGCAGCTATTCAACGCTGCTGATAGTTTTATAGTGTTCAGACTTTTAACCCCTTGTACCACCAGGGACGCCCCTACAAATTTTATTCGTTTTTTGATCTAGATAGCACTGCAGTGTAAGTTTCAGGTGCACGTCACTAGCAATCGACTTCAGTAGAGAGCCTTTAGATGAGGCTTAGATATTTTGCTAAAATTAATTTTTGTCTATTCCTTCGTACAAAGTATGACTTTCTCTAAATGAGAATATTATACTTTGGCTTTTACTTTATTTATATTTTTAAAATATTTCTTTTTATTTATTTATATACAAGAACTAGGGTATAGGCCACAGGTGTGGAGGTGAGAGGATTCACCCAGAAGCAGAGTGGATTAGCTCTGTGGCCAGGTATTGAACGTATGCCACAGTGGCTGGCAGTGACTTGATAGTGCTGACACTTTAACCCCTGTGTCACCAGGGAGGTCCTTACTTTGATTTTTAATAGAGAAACTTCCCACATTCTTTAACTTGTGTCTGTGTAGTGTTGTCCTCTGTCCTTGGCGGTATTATGTACGGGTTGGGTTTGTGTGCTTCCTTGCCAAAGAATAGCTTACAAAAAAAAGATTGCAAGTTTCCCAGAGTGTGCTGACTCAACCAACCAACCAGCCAACAAAAAGCACAGACACAAACTAAAAAAAAGAAGCTAGAAAATAGAAACTAAAGTCTGTAAAAAGTCTCATTGAACAGAGAAGGGGAAGGAAAGTTTTGTAAATTTCCCAAACTCTTTCACTTCCTCAACATTATGCTGAGATCTTTCACCCTTTTGAAAATTAACATAGGTTCTTATATGGGCAGAGAAAAAGAATATGCTTCTCTTAAATTCAGTACAGTCATGTCGTTTGGGTACAAAAGATTTCTCTCAATGTGCAGATTGGAATAGAGAGATAATATAGACCTAAACTTATCAGTCTTTTCCAGTGAGAATGAAATAAGCCTCTTGTGTTATTTCTAGCCATGATTGTCATTAAAAAAATATTACTGGATGATTTGTTTAAACATGCTCGTCATTTCTGTGAGAAAAATCTCAGGTGTTTGAGAAACTTGATTTGGAAGGCTATCATAAAGTTAGTCATTATATTTAATCTGTCATCTGTGATGATTAGTGTATGCTTTTGACTCCTAAAGAAAATGAAACATTTTTTTCCTCATCATAGTATATAGATTTGTGGCTTTCAAATAAAAAGTAGTTATGAGCAGGTGTGTGGGAAGGATCTCTCTGTAGTAGACTCTTGGGCTGTATTGTACAGGACAAGTATTAATGTGCCTGAAGAACTCCACTCCAATAAGTGAAATTGTTCTCAGAAATACAAAAACTTAAGACAAAGTGCTTTGAATACTTTTAAAGTTGCTATGTAAATATTAAACCCAAATTAGTTAATGTTATACATGTTATAAAGTACTTGTAAAAAAGTTAATATCTGGCATGTTGAATGTATTGAATATATTTCTTTCTTTTTTTTTTTTTTAAAGATTTATTTATTTGTGCATACAGAGCCGGGGTACAGGCCAGAGGCTCAGGGGCGGTGAGAGGCTTCACCAGAGACAGAGTAGGGAGCAGAACAGGCAGATCGACAAAGTACACTGCTGAGGGGAGCAGCGGGCGGGTCAGGAGAGGTCTGCCACGCCATGTGGTCACCTCCCCGGCAGGCGGGAATTGAACCCATGCGGAAGTGGCTTTAGCTTCTCAGTGCTGTGCTTTAACCCACTGCGCCACCAGGGAGCGCCTGAATATATTTCTATACAATAGAAAAATATTTCCAAGCTCTAGCTTAATTGCGGTCTTCTAATTCTCCCATAAGTGGTATTTTATAATAGATTATTATGTTGAAATATGATATTAAATTAAGTGATCCTGTATATGCTTTTGAAATAATCCAGAAAAAAATGCATTACTCTCAAGCTAAGTTAAATTTTAAGATACCAGTGGTGTGTCGGTTGAAGTAAGAGGGATGGACAGAACAGAATCAGCATTGGCCCCTGCGGTAGCACTTTAGTCATTTAGGGAGTTTTGAATCCTTATATGAATAGAGTAATAAGTAGGCATGTTATGACCTGAGCATTCTGAGCAAGCAGCACTTTTAAGAAGGAATAGTGGGCATCTGTGTAAATTTCTTTCAGATGTCATCAGCGTGTTAATTTTATGTTCCTTAAAGTTCAAACAAGAGTTATACCTCTTGAGTTTTACTGGTTTGAAGGAGATGATAAATAAAACTAAAAATATATTTCAGATATGATGCTATATATTTTTTGCTAAAGAGATAATAAATGTAGGTCAGGAAATGATAAATTTTAAGTTATTAACGGAGTGATTAGGTGATTTCACCTTAAATTTTGTTTTGGGATATTAAAATTAATGAGGTTCAGATCAAATGTCACGGTGATTTTTAAAGACTTCAGTGTTCTTATTCCAAACAGAAAAATCTGTATCTGCCATCTTCTCTCCTTTTCTTCTAGTATTGCTGAATGTTGCAGCACTCCCTACTCGCTTTTGGGTTTGGTCTTCACCGTTTCTTTTGTGGCCTTGGGTGTTCTGACCCTCTGCAAGTTTTACCTGCAGGGTTATCGTGCTTTCATGAATGATCCTGCCATGAACCGGTAAGTTCTTTACTCTGAATGTCTCTAGAAATTTAAATCAGTGTAATTTGAAAAAATAATGATGAATGTCCTTACTGACAAATAAAGAGGAAAGGACATTTTGAGGCTTTTTGTTTGAAATTTTGCAAAGTTTGGATTAAAATATTTTGTGAAAAGACAGCAAAGTTCCTATGTATGAAAGGTATATTTTGTGTAGCTGATTACATATTAGACATATTCCTAGATTTATTTAAAGAGTTTTGATAGCTTGCTTTTTTCCATTTTAAGTGTAGCACTGTCAAAATCAGATTTTTATATTTGATGACTTTTTAAAATTTTTAAAAAATTTTTGATCCTAATTCTAATACTGATTAAAGTTTTCAAGTATACATTAATGAGAATGCAGAGTAGTGAGTGGTTGTTACTTAATCACTAATTTCTGGGAAACGCTGTTTGTAGAACTTGTCTTGATTTCTGTTATCTTAACAAAAGTTTAATGGTTTAAATTTATATAACTTTTTAAAGTCTTTAAGTCTTACGGAATATGTCACAAACAGAAGATGGTAAGTTCCTTGTAAATTAAGGGAAAATTGTTTGGTGTATGTTAGTTTTTTTATGACATAAAAGAAAAAGGCAAATGACCATCATTTCCTGCCAAGCCCAGCTGACACCTTAATACTGGAAAAGGTGTGTATGTGTGGGCCATGACCAAGGGAAAAAATATTACATGTATTAATTCCTGAAATTCATATCATTCATGAAATATATAGTGGAGTGACGGCTTCCCACCCATACTACCCATTTCCTTTCCCCAAAGTAACAGGTCATTAAGCAGTTTTTAATAAGGTAAATACCATGCCCATTTATTTTTGCTTATTTCCACATCTGTACCATAGTTTTTAATTTGTATGTTTTAGATTTTTTTTTACCTCAGCACCCTCATTCATTTCACCCTATTACATAACACAGAGGCACCATTTTTGTTGATTTTTAATTAATAAAAAAGAATGCTGCTGAGTATCTTTGTACATGTCTCTTTAAAAAAAAAAAACAAAACCTTAACTAGGAAAATTTTGAACCAACTAAGTTGAAAGGATAGTAGCATGAATCTCCATGAACCCATTTTCCCCTCCTGGTAGTATGGGCAGTTTTATGTCTTATGTGTCCCTGTTAACTGCCTCTCACCTTACCTCTTCCCCCATAGCCTCCTGGCTACACCCGCTTCTCTGTTGATTCCAATTACACTATCAGATCACCCTAAATACTTCAGTCTATAAATCATTTGGAAAAAGTCAAATAAGAATGGAAGAAAATAATCCCTTGAAAACCAAATACTCTTAAAATTAGTTACCTAAAACTTTTAAACTTTTTTGCTCCACTCAGTATTCAAAGTAGGCACATATTGCACTTGGCTTCATAGATCTCATTTAATGGAGGTTCTGGCTATTTGTATATTTTCTGTTGCATTTATTTGTTCAGACACCAGGTTATTTGTCTGGATTTTGCTTGATAATAGCCTGTCTTGTCACAGAACATATTCTATTGTTCATTGTTTTCTCTTACACGTATATTTTATCTTTTGGGTAAATTATTACCAGTGAGATTATTGAACTGAAGAGCATATATGTTTCAATTTTTTTTATATATATCCAAAAGGGCAGCTTTATTATTAAAAAGAGAAGACTTTTGCATAGATACAAGAGAGCAGAAAGAGCTGCCCATTTTAAAATTTCTTAGCAGATTTTTCTCCCTAATGATTTTATCTGTTTATAGTTTAATATCATTCTACCCATTTTTCTTACATTATTTGTCAGTATTCAGGTCATCAAACTTTGAAATATTTGCTAATTGGTAGTTTTGAAAACTGTATTTATATTTGTTCATTTTTATATATTGTGAGATCTTTTTTTATATGAAGTCAGAATAAGTCATTAAAACTTCATATGTATTTTCTGTATGGAAATTAAATTTTAAAAATGTGTCTGCATATTCTGGTTCTTAAGATCTGCTTAAAGAGACCTTTTCTACTATAAGATAATGAAGACATTCGTCTGTGGCTTTGTCTTTTTGAATTTAGATGTAGCTCATGAATGTACTATGTATAATTCAGTGAATATCTAACAATGATAGAGAGGTATCTGGCCCATTTTTAAAGCCTGCTTATAAAACTCTTGTTTATCTCTCATAGAAGTTGCTTTTCTTCTCCCCATTATATGGGTAAAGAATACCTACTATGTTTTGCATGTGATAGGATACATAATTGTTATTATTACTATGTTGATGTTATATGATAAATTAATATTTAGATCCAGACTTAAGTTAGAATAAATCACAAATATGTAACAAGTCTCATAGGTCTTGTATTATTTCCTCTTGGAATTCGAGGCGATTCTGATTATTGTTTGTTTTTGTGGGAATGCATGCTTCCTTAGGGGCATGACGGAAGGAGTCACACTGTTGATATTGGCCGTGCAGACAGGCCTGATTGAGCTGCAGGTGGTGCACCGGGCCTTCCTGCTCAGCATCATCCTCTTCATTGTCGTGGCTTCTATCCTCCAGTCCATGCTGGAGATTGCTGACCCCATCGTGCTGGCGCTTGGAGCTTCTAGAGACAAGTGAGGAGCTTCTCTAACAGTCTTTAAACATATTCTTATTCCCTGATGTTTAGAGACAGAAAATGGAGGAATTAATTGTGATTAGCGTACATTAACAAAGTCAGTTTTTTTTTTTTTTAAAGATTTATTTATTTGTACATACAGAACTGGGGTACAGGCCAGAGACTTAGGGGCAGTGAGAGACTTCACCAGAGACAGAGTGGGGAGCAGAACAGGCAGATCAACGAAGTACACTGCTGAGGGGAGCAGTGGGCGGGTCAGGAGAGGTCTGCCACGCCATGTGGTCTCCTCCCGGGGCAGGCGGGAATCGAACTCATGCAGAAGTGGCTTTAGCTTCTCAGTGCAGTGCTTTAACCCGCTGCGCCACCAGGGAGGGCCGTAACAAAGTCAGTTTTAACTTTCCTTTAGCCCTTCCTTTTGTGTTTTTGCTCTCAAGAGCTCTTCTTTTTGTGTTTTCCCTCTTGCTGAAAGTCACATCCAAGGCTGTACAATTTGTTCTTCAGAGAAATGTAATAGTTCCATATTTGCCCATCTTAAAAATTAAGAATGGAGAGCATTAAATTTAGTTCAGTAAATAGAATAAATAGTAAATTTTTTTCTGTGAAATGTTAAAAATGAGAAAATGTTTGAGAGACGTGTAAGTGGAGAAGAGACAATCATAGATGCCTTTGTGGAGGACTAGCCTCATTCTGATGGTCTTGGAGACAATGGCAGTTCGGTGAGCTTGTAAAGGCAATTCCTGACACCCCAGTGAACCGATAGAATTAATAACTGATTCATATTTATCTCATAGTGTAGGAATTTTTTTTGGAACTATAAGTCAAATTTCTCTTTAATTCCTTAAGGTATTATTTTAGTTTGTTGAAGTCTATACAAAGATACAACTCTTTTCCCAATGTTCTATCTATACTGTGATTACTGATGATCGAAGTACATCCAAATTTATTGCTGATTTGTTGGTGTTTGAAGAGTAAGGGAGTAGTCTTTTGAAGTAGGAACTTTTGACAGCGGATTTTAAAAACACTCCAAATTAGCATTTGGAATAATGATTAGTTTGGAATGCTAATACTTAGTAGATTTGTCTTCCCTATGCTGCTAAACATCCTGGATATTTCTTTCAAATGGTTAGAATTACTGCAAGAATCATTCAATTTAAATAAGCCCAGAATTGTTGGATAATGTTTCATATAATCTTATTTTCAGTTATAGTTATTTGAGATTTGGTTTTGAAGTTTAAGGTTTCCCAGTAAAACATAAAGATGTTGATGGCCCTCCCTGGTGGCACAGCGGGTTAAAGCACTGCACTGAGAAGCTAAAGCCGTTTCCGCATGAGTTCGATTCCCGCCTGCCCCGGAGGTGACCACATGGCGTGGCAGACCTCTCCTGACCTGCCCGCTGCTCCCCTCAGCAGTGTACTTCGTAGATCTGCCTGTTCTGCTCCCCACACTGTCTCTGGTGAAGCCTCCCGCTGCCCCTGAGCCTCTGGCCTGTACCCCAGTTCTGTATGCACAAATAAATAAAATCTTTAAAAAACAACAACCACAGGGCTCTCCCTGGTGGCGCAGCGGGTTAAAGCACAGCACTAAGAAGCTTAAGCCAATTACACATGAGTTCGATCCCCACCTTCCCTGGAGGAGATCCACATGGCGTGGCAGATCTCTCCTGACCCGCCCGCTGCTCCCCTCAGCAGTGTACTTCGTAGATCTACCTGTTCTGCTCCCCACTCTGTTCCTAGTGAATCCTCTCACCCTCCGCACCTCTGGCCTGTACCCCAGTTCTGTATGAATAAATAAATAAATCTTTAAAAGAAAACAACATAAAGATGTTGAACTCAGTGTTGAACTCAGGTAAATAGCTCAGATAGCTCTGAAAATGGGCTTGTTTGACCTCTGAAGTTTGTCACCTGTGAGTATTTGTTAGCTTTAATAATTATGCAAATAGTTTAGCCTAAATTGACTACACTATAGAAAGTCTGGAAAAGAAAAATGAAACCAAAATTTCACTGCCATAAGGACAAGTAGGTCCAGTTCTGGATCTTTCAGGATACTGACCTAGTATGGTAGAGGAATTAGGAGGGAAAGAACAAAGCGGAGAAGTCCTGGTTTTGCTGATGTTATTGTGGTATCTGCGGTAGTGTTAGTCGCAGGCAGGGATAAACTAGGAAATTAGGAATGGACCATTTGCTTCATCCCATTCCATGCCACGCCCCCTGTCCCCACCCCAACCCCGCCTGTAGGAATAAGGTAACACAAGAATACTGTCAGCAGCCAATACTCTTGAAAACAATGAAATGGAAAAATTATGAGAAAAAATGTAACTTACTAGAATGGACTTAAGGAGAATTAAAAACTTTTATAGTTTTATAACTTTTTTAAAAATTCAGCAAATTAAAATTAAATTAAGCAATTAAGCAGTTGCTGGGTATATTGACCCAGATGTCAAGTTCTGCCAAACTTGGAGGAGCTGAACATTCCCATTTTAAACAGACACTTCCAGATAATAGATGGAATACCCCCAACTCAATTCTGTGAGATCATAGAAATCCACAGAAAATTTTATCCTTTCCTCCTGTATGATCTCTATATTAATAGGGGTAATTTGAGAAATAAAGTTTTATTTCACTCATAGTAGGAAATATTATGAAGTTTTTGTAATGACTCAGGAGTAGACAACCTGACAACTGGAGCAGAAAGCTCCCAAACGATTCTCCCTATGTCTGGAACTTGGGCATATAGCAGAGTGGTATGTCAGGTGATTAGGAACATGGGGGACTCCTTTGTAATGGAAAACAAGTTTCCATTTAGAAAAGTAGGGAATTGGATTTCTGTCTCATGCCAGAACATTAGAGAATTAAATGTTGTAAACCAAAAATGAGGACAGTACACGGGTTGATGTATTCTGATCTTCAGGTAGGGAAGGTTTCCTATACGTGTAAGAAAAGAAGCACTAAGTATTGACCGTGACTGAGAGAAAGAAGGGATAATTATAAATAATAATGCTTTCAAACTGAAAGGCAACAAGTAAATTAGAAATGATACTTAGCTACCAGGTAGAAGGCATTTCTACTATTTGCACTTATCCAGAGATTAATATCAAAAATACATTAAACAGCTCTTATAAAGCATTGAGGGAAATGGTTAAAATAAATCCTCAGGCTTTTAGCAAAAGAAGAAACACATGAATCTAAAGTCAGGTTCAGCATCTTGAGTGATCAGAGAAATGTAAATGAGACCACAATGAGAAACTGTTTCAAAATGATGGGATTGGCAGCGAATAAATAAGAAAGAAAGGGGAAGAGGGAGGAAATCAGTTGAGGGCTAGCATGGAGAGAGAGCACAGATGGCAGGGCTGCACAAGTTTAGAAAACAACTGGGTGTTTTCATCTCCTGTGTGCTTGAGACAGGTTCAGCAAGGACATGTCAGAGAATGTTTGTAGCACAGTTAACAATAACAGAAACCTGGGGGTCACCCAAATGCCAGTCAGACAGGAAAGAGTGAATAAAATGTGCTAATGGTTACAGTAGATGTCAAAAATACGACAAAACAGTGTGATTCCTAGCAATGTAAAGCAAAAAGATGACATCTTAAAAGGATAATATTGAGTGTTAAAATTTTGTTCTTCAGGAATATATATAATTAAGCAAACCTATAAAAGGGGAGTAAACTAGAGCATGAGGAATACAGGAGTCAAGAGAGTGGTTTCAGTGAGTCGAGGGAGGCAGGACATGGAATGGGCAGGCCTTCCTTGCAGGGCAGATGCCAGGTTTTATGTAGGCTCTCGCTTTTGCGTGGGAAGATGGTTTCATGAATGTTTCATTATGGAAAACAGAATTAGATTATTAACTAAAACAGGGATATATATAGCCCAGTGGTCATGGATTATAATTATTTAATTCAGTGTACTGGGGGTTATATAAAGAAACAAAAAGAATCTTAATTCTCAAGTTAGAGGAACAATTAAGAGAACCTTGATAGTTCATGAAACAGTTTCTCTGGGTCATTAAAAGGCTAATTGTTAGTGGAAAAAATCTTGCTCTTTGGAAATTGCTTGGAGAGATATCCTAGATAGTTTTGAACATAAAGATAATGTTAATTTTACCTGTACATTTCAATACAGTTTTTTAAAAAATAGTAACTTTTGTGTGTGTGTGTATATATATATATAATATATATAAAGATTTATTTATTTACGCATATGGAACGGGAGTGCAAGCCAGAGGTGCTGGGCAGTGAGAGGCTTCACTGGAGATGGAGTGGGGAGCAGAACAGGCAGATCGACAATGTACACTGCTGAGGGGAGCAGAGGGTGGGTCAGGAAAGGTCTGCCACGCCATGTGGATAACCTGGGGCAGGGGGGGATTGAATTTACAAGCTAGCAGCAGCAACTAGTTTGCAGTGCCGTGTCCTAACCTGTTGTGTCACCAGGGAGGGCCTTTAACAGGAAATTTTATAATTAACTGTACTAACTCATATCGATAGCACATGTTTAAGTGATAAGTTTTTTAAAATGGGCTTATGAATATAAAAAAATTGTCTTTCTGTCATATACAGTATAATTAAATGGGATTTTGGTGGTTCATGGTATTTTGATATTTAATAAGATCACCTTTTATTAAATTTTAATAGTGTAAAGAAATCTATGTATTATATATTGTGTATTATGCACACCTACATCAAAATTAGCCTTAAATGTGTAGACTCATGGCATAATGTATATGGCTTTCTGCATGTAAATACATGTAAATACATTCTTGTTATAAATATAAATCTATACATGCTTAATATAAATGGGTTATAGCTTAATCTTGAAAAATAGACTTGGGCCTCCCTGGCGGTGCAGGGGTTAAAGTCTCAGTGCTATCAGGCATGAGTCTGATCCCCAGTCAGGGGATGACCCACATGATGAGCAGACCTCTCCTGTACCACCCCTTCTTCCCCTCAGCAGTGTATTTCAGTGGATCCACCTGCTCACCACTTTGTCTCTGGTGAATCTCCTTACCCCCTGCACTTCTAGCCTAGACCTCAGTTCTTATATGCATAAGTGAATAAAATAAATCTTAAAAAAAAAAAAGACAGGTTTTAAAGCAAACAACCCATTTAATGAGAATTATCTAACATAGTCTACTGTTGCAATAGTTCCTTCCTCCTTACTTTTCTTTAAAAAATAAAATTGTTTTGGATCTCAAAGCAGAGCTACTGACAGGTTTACATTCGTCCCTAACTTCTGGTAATAGAAATGCTTGGGGGGAAAAAACACTTTGCAAGATACTTAGTTTTAATTTTTACCATAATTCACTTTCTTCTCTGAATTGCTATTTATAGACAATTCCACACACTATAGCATTTGACTTGTGTGTGGCTATATTTTCTCCCACCTCTCTTAGAGCTAGAGGTGGGAAAGGATGATGATTCATATGCATTAAAAATACTTTTTGATGGACTTGAGACCATCACAGATGCTGATATTTAGTAAAAAACATTATATGGCATCTTTTAACGATTTTGATTGAAATCTGACTTCCTTATAATGGTTTTAAATAATCTGTGGCTATGTTTATAGGAAATAATCAATTTTAACTTTTTAAGATTTTTATTTAACTATACAGTCCTGTCTTAAATTGTGGTATATTTAAAGAACTAGTAGAGTATTACAGTATGTGAAGAGAGAAACAAAAGAAAAATTATACTTTTTTCCTTTACTATAACTTAGAGTTTCTTCTATGTGAGTGCTCCTCTCTGACAAATAGACTTTTCTATGTGGATGTTCCTTTCTGACAAGTAGACTTCAGAAATGGAAATCTAAGTCTAAGAAATAAATCCATTGATGTTCCATGTTTTAAAGCTTTAAGTGTCACGTGTAACCGTTTCCTTGTAAAGTGACCACAATCTCTTGGTCACTTTGAGTAGGTGATGGATAACAAGAGGAGGTAGTGATAGGAAATGATCAGAAAAATACCAAGGAGAAAAAATTATTGCCACTACCTTCAAACAAGCCTTTATGTTTAAGAGCTGGAATACATGAAGGATTTACTGTCGTCAAGGAATTTACATTTGGAGGCTAAGACTTACATATTTACACATTAATGTATAAAAATATACAGATATATAAAACAGTACTGTAGGAATATATAGAATATATAAATATGTGTAATTGAAACGATACCAAAAAATCGGTAGTTCAGATGTTAATAATTCTGAGAGTGTAGGTAATTTCTGGAGATTTACATTACCTGTATGAAAGTATTTGTTTAGTTTCAGCTAGCCTAAAGGATTAGCAAAATGGAGTGGCTGGAGGGATTTCTGGTAGGTAAAAGTACTTGTGTTTTTCTGGAAGGACAGTTAATTTCCTTCAGTGAGGAACAGATGTTGGCAAGTTGGGAGTAGAGCCCTTCTGATGCCAGGCTAGGAACACGGGGATGTGTTGATTGTATTACATTGGTAGAGCTTTAAGAAGATGCACTGGGCTTGCAGTGTGCAAGGCACATTGGAGTCACTGGGTATAAGGCCAGATCAGGAGGCCTCCACAACCATGGTCCATGGAAGACCCAGTCCTCCAGACACTACCACACTCACATAGCACAGAGTTCATCACAGGCTGGAGTGGTGGGAGAGGATGGGGTTTTAGAAAGACCAGAATTACTGTGAAATTTGTTAAGGTATAATGCTATAATCTGAAATTGATTTAAAATTACTAGGCATGGGAATGAAATAAATGTTTGGGGGGAAAAAAACAGACTTGAATACCTGGCAATTGAGTGAGCATGGGAAGAGGAGGGAAGGAATGAGTCCTGGGAAGGAATGAGTCCTGGCGAGGAGTGCCCAGGGAGTGGAGCCCAGGATGGTGTCTTGACATGGAAGTTGTTCCCGGTCTTGTGCTGGGTGACAGCTCTTGAAATGAGTCCTTTTCTTTTTCAGGAGTTTATGGAAACATTTCCGTGCTGTGAGCCTTTGTTTATTTTTACTGGTGTTCCCTGCTTACATGGCTTATATGATTTGCCAATTTTTCCACATGGATTTTTGGCTTCTTATCATTATTTCAAGCAGCATTCTCACTTCTCTTCAGGTAAGCCTAGGATTGATTGCCTGTATACTAGCTGATTAAACAGATTAAAGCAGTTAAAGGCTAATTCCTTTTAAGGAATTAAACTTTTTCAAATCAAAGTAGTTAAACTTTGCAGGTTATCTTTTTCTAAAGTTTTTGATACAGAGTTGCCATGTAAACATTAAATGTAATATTCAAGTATTGCTGAGTTTCGCACTGAAGTGGCCATGGTGTGACTTAGCTTCTCAGTGCTGCATTCCAACCCCCTGCACCACCAGGTAGGGCCTTTTTGCTGGTTTTTTTACTTGCAACAATAATAAGATACCTACTTCTGCCCCTAAAGGAAATTAGCTGTTTCTCAGGATAGTGGAATGAGGTTAAAGAATGACTATCAGATGTGAGAAATTTGAATATTATATGTAATTATTTCCCAAAATAAAATAGCTGTTATCACATTTGTTATTTTCTGAGCGTTGCATACATTGTTTCATTTATTTCTCATAAAGCCTGAATAAATTTTTTCTCTGTGATTCTAATTCTGATGTTAGAATTATTTTTGAAATAAAAAAATTTCTGAATTTGGAATACTTATGCAGTTTCATGATGTAAATAAGTGTATGAGGTGTTATGCATAAATGGTATATTCTCTACATATATACACCTGCTCAGTATCCTTGAAAATAAAAACTTATTACAACTTAAAGGTGGTCTTTGTTGCCTGATCAGTAAGAAGAAAAAGAAATGGTGGTATTGGCAATAAAGATTTATTCACATTCCTTATAGAAGTAAAAGTTCTTTGAGGGTTGAAGAACAAAACAAATGTCACTGTAAATTTAGGAAAACTTAGATAGAATTTGAATGGTATTTGGTGAGCTAGGTAGGAAGGGGAAATTAGGAGTCAGATAGCTAATTGCTAGGATCATTTCATTACAAGGTTTGAGGTTTTTAGTGCATGGATTTCTGAGATCACCCACATTCAGTTGTATCAGTGACTACTCTAGATATTGAATATGGTTTTCTAAAAGTACCAGGAATTTGTTTAAAGTCTATGAAAGTCTTCATGATTTTAACTCTGTTTTAATGTACTTTTTTTTCCTTCAGGTTTTGGGAACACTTTTTATTTATGTCTTATTTATGGTTGAGGAATTCAGAAAAGAGCCAGTGGAGAACATGGATGACGTCATCTACTATGTGAATGGCACGTATCGCCTGCTGGAGTTTTTGGTGGCCCTCTGTGTGGTGGCCTATGGTGTCTCAGAGACCATCTTTGGAGAATGGACAGTCATGGGCTCCATGATTATCTTCATCCATTCTTATTACAATGTGTGGCTTCGTGCTCAGCTGGGCTGGAAGAGCTTCCTTCTCCGCAGAGATGCTGTGAATAAGATTAAATCATTGCCCATTGCTACGAAGGAGCAGCTTGAGAAACACAATGATATATGTGCCATCTGTTACCAGGTAACATTGGAGAATCCATTTGGATGGGTTATACTGCATGTCCCTGGATTTTTATGATGTTGACCAAATTCACCTTAAATTTTTTAGGCAAAATTATCATCTGGGTAGAAAAATTGGCTCAGAAATTATTAAAGACCAATTCAGATTCTGTCTATAAATTTTTTATTTTATTCTAAATTAAATGTATAATTCAGTTCAAATTCTAATTTATTGTTATCTTCAACATTATTGCTCACCCACAAATAAAGGAAAAACAGGTCAGGTGTATTTTATATTTACTTGTGAATATACACAAATAAGTATATTGCAGGGTCAGCGGCTTCTGAAAAGTGCTGTGCCAAGTCTGATTCCCTACTGGTTTCCAGGTTGGGGAAGTGTCTGTTGACTGACTGTGGAGAGGAGGCCATCTGCACAGCATAGGGCAGGGAATACCCATGTGGATATGTCAGTGACTGTGTGGAGTCCCTGTTGATGTGAGGTTGCAGGCCTATCCATCTTACAGTGCTGCTCTCCAGTTAGGCTGAGTGTGTCCAGTTAGGGCTAGAATAAGAATTATTCTAGGAGTAAAAGGCAAGGATACTTTTTTTTTTTTTTTAAATGTGATTAGATAGTACGGATAGTAGCAAAATGAGACTTTTGCATTTGGGGGGAGGGGAAGTCCTATACTTGCCCCAAGTTCAGTGTCATGTTGTAGATCCTTTTTGCGGTCAGCCTCAACATGCCTCTGCAGCACCAGCACAGGGAAGCCTAACGGGCCTATGACTGTTCTGTCTGGGATGTAAGAGTCTTCTTTTTGTGTTTCTTGTTGTCACATCACTTTTTTTGAGGTGCTAGAACTGCCTGCAACTATCCCCCAGAGTGTGAAAGTTAGATTGCTTAATTCCCAGCTGGCTGCTCTTCCTTGGATGGCTTTCTGCTTAATAATTCACTCTGGATTACCGTCCTTGGCATAGACCTTGAGCAGTAGCCACAAGGCCTTATTAGGGGACTTTAAACAATAATGGCTTATTCACCACGTGTATTCTTACAACTTCATGTTCTCAGCCTTCTTTACCCAAATGTATCTTGTGCAAGGAATATTGATGCCAAGTATCCATTTCCTACTCCAGTGGTTATCCAATTTGATAGTGTGTAGAAGTCACCTGAGTGGCTTGCTGTGCTTGTAGATTGTGAGCATCTCTCAAGTACTTGGATTCAGTAGATCTGGGGTGGTGAGAATATGCATGGTTGGCAGGCACTGGGGGCAAGGACGGGGGAGTTTCTGATGCAACTTGGAAAATGCTGGCTTATTCAGACTGCCTTTTAAAAGCCAAGAATATGCATTGTTCCTAATGAAATTGCTGCTTCCTTGCCAACATCTTTATGTTATGTGGCTATGGTTGTCTCCTTGCCAATCACCTCATCATGTAATAATCTGTTTGGCTTTGTTGTAGTATAAATATGGGAAAGTGCTGTCTCACCATGTTTTCTGGGGCTCTAATTACTCTCCTGCCTTACCCAGGGAGTACCAGCAGTCATTTCTACATTTGGGGGCCCTTGTGTTTTATACTAAAACCAAATCTGGTTCAGAAGATGGTTTTGCTCTTCTTTTTGGGGTTTCCTCTTAAAAATTACTAAACAGTGGTTCTAGAGGGATTGCTAATGGCAAGAGGCTTATTACTGAAATACAAAAATTTCATTCTAAGGTTTGTGTTAAACATTTTCTTTGAGGGGCTTGGGGGAAAAGTGATGTAAATTTTGGGGGTAGCAGCAAGATTTTAGATAACAGATGTTTATAAAGATACCTTCTCCCCTTTTCTTGTAGGACATGAAATCTGCTGTGATCACCCCTTGCAGCCATTTCTTCCATGCAGGCTGTCTCAAGAAGTGGCTATATGTCCAGGAGACCTGTCCTTTGTGCCACTGCCACCTCAAGCACTCTGCCCAGCCCCCAGGCTCTGCAGCAGAGCCAGGGCCCCCACCTCACACTGATGTTGAGCCCCATGGTAGGCTGAATCCTCCTGGGCAAGAGCCACCTCAAGGGACTGGGGCACAGGAAGGCTCTAGGGACAGTGGTGAGTGTGTCCCCACAAATTTAGACAGCCCAGAGGGTACTCTCGGTCCCCAAGAATGTCCTCTTAGCTCCAGTGATGTGACCAGTCCGGTGGGGGTCAGCCTAGAAGAACAGCATCAGGAGTGACCTGAGGAAACTGAAGCAGAGGACATGCACGTGAAGTCGTGCTCAGACTTGGAGGGAATATAAGAGAGGGTCGGGCATGAGCCATGACATTCCACAGAGTGAGGACCACCTGCTTTCGTCTCCATGATGGTGTGAGAAGTTTGCTAGGTCTCCTCTGCACGGAGTATCTGTACATCTGTGCTGACGTTGTGTGGAAGTTCATCCAGAAAATTAGCCTTGGCAACTTCACAGACTGCCCCCCAATTGTGAGGGGTGAATAAAACCAGCACTGGGTATATGAAGGGGCTGAAGAAAGGAGGCCACAAAGCACGAGACCAGCCTGGGAAGAAGCAGGCAGAGAGGGACCAGGATCGTCTGTCACAAAGTGTGAGTGGTGGTGACTGGCCTTTTTCCTCCACCACCTTCCCCGAGTAATTGGAACTCAGTCAGGTGAATTCCTGAGTTTGGACAGCACTGAAAGAAAATCAAAGATGTCAAAACATTGATTGTATTCCCAGACCAAAGCACGCGCAGACTTGGCATGTGCTGTAGGGGTGGGGCGGGGGGCGCGGGCCTGCCGGGTACGTTCATGTAATCCAAGACTCTTGACCTCTATGATGGAGTCTTAAATATTTTGATGTATATGAGACTTTTGTTAATATATTGTATACTGTGTTGGCTGTGTGAAGTAAACTAAAACTCTGATGAACACTTTGGAGTGCACTTCAGTGTAGGAAACCAAAGTGGGAAGGGCTTTAGGGCACTGAAAGAGCCCCAAGTGTACTTTCCAATCTTGTGTAATGTTTAATTCTTGCAACTGAATCAAAACAGTGTTAAATCATGGCAATATTTGCACTTGGGGAATGAATACATAACTGTATGACCACACTCTGCAAATGCCACTTTTAAAGCTGTTAATAGACTTTGCACCTTTTCTTTGACAAGGATGTGTCATATTAAAATTTTTACATACATCATGGTTACAGGTAGAACTGGGGAGGGGGGGAAGGTAATTTTCTATGGGAATTTTGATATGAAAAGAAACTAGTCATTTATTTATACAATAGGCTTGGCTCAAAAAGTGTTTTTCAGATTTGGTATTCCTAATGTGGGATGTGACTTTATTTTATTTTTAGTAGCAAATTTGGATGTAGACTGACAGGCATAGCTGAATGTCTCAATAAATTTAAATTTGACGATAACTGTATTTGCTCCAGTGGTGATTATTATTACTGTAAAGTGTTCTGTTGGAATTGTGTTGAGGAGGTCTGTTTTTATACAACTAGGTTTCTTTTACCTGGATTCCCTATCAAAAATGCCTTGTGGGTGGCAGAACTTTTTGAAAAAAGGATTATATATGCACAGAAGAACTGGGATGTAGGTCAGGGTTGGGGATGAGAAGATTCACCAGAGATAGAGTGGGGGGAGAACAGGCAGATCTACTGAAGTACACTGTTGAGGGGAGCAGTGAGACCAGAGAAAGGTCTGCTATGCCATGTGTGGGTTAGCTTCCTGGCCCAGGATCAAACTAAGGCAATGGAGGTGACAACACTGAGTATCAACCCGTAGGCTATCGGGGAGGCCCAGAGCTTTATGGTTAAAAAAGCTTTATGGCCAGCAAGCCTAGCTGTACATAGAAATATCTGGGAGCTTGTGTTTGAATCTCACTTCAGACCTACTGAATCTCAATCTTTGAGAGTATCTGAGGAGCTACATTTCAGAGCTCCTGGGTGATTCTGTCTCAACATTCTGACAGAAGCCCACTTTCACGTTTAGAAAAGAAGAAGCTTCAGTAGAACTAATTCTTCCAGGTGTGACTGGAGTTGCTAGCTTCCAGATTCTGTAGAAATTGAAGTGGCTCCCTCTGGCAGTCAGGCTGTTGTCTAAAGCCCTAGCAGTTTTTCACCAAATGGAAAAATGTATGAAAAGTGCATATTCTGGCATTAAATTTTTTAGTGCTCTTTTTGAAGAAGGAAAACTACAGATATAAGTACAGGCTAGTGAACTCAGCCACTTTTAGCAGCGAGTTGACTCACAAAGGGAAAGTAAACATGTTTTAGTAATAGTAGAGACTGCTTTGGCATTCATTTCACACTGTACTGCACGTTTTTCCTCCTTATAGTTCAGAGCCCAGCTATGCATGCCAAGTCACCTGCTCCTTAGCGTAGCAGGTTGGTGGACACAGCATCCTCTTGTTTGGGTCAGGAGAATTACTCATTTTGACTTCCAGGTTTGAAGGACATATCATTCCTTCGTTAACATTTTGCATTTCTCTGTTTTCCTAAAAGGTTTTGACATATCTCTAATTGCCAATTTAAGTGGTTAATGAAGAAAATTTTTTTAATCTCCCAAGTTTTTAAAGGAAGGTTCTTTTTGCCTGTTGCCATGGTCATGGAACAAGAGGCTTATAGAGACTTAAATATTACTAAATTATGTTTCAGATCTGAACAAACACTTCAAAAGTAAACTTTTTACTTTTTTTAAAAAGATTTATTTATTTATTCATTTGTACAGAACTGGGGTACAGGCCAGAGATGCGGAGGGTGAGAGGATTCACCAGAGACAGTGGTGTGCAGAACAGGCAGATTGACAAAGTACACTGCTGAGGGGAGCAGCAGGCGGTCAGGAGAGGTCTGCCTCGCCATGTGGATCTCCTCCAGGGCAAGTGGGGATCGAGCTCTTGCGGAACTGGTTTAAGCTTCTTTGTGCTATGCTTTAACCCCCTGCGCCACCAGGGAGGGCCTGTAAACTTTTTATTCTTGCTTCTACTCTGGCTTTTATAGAAACAGCTTGTCCCATTTTAGAACCATGGTAAGTAACTGGTAGGAATAAGTTTGTTTATTACATTTTAAAGTGCTATATGCCTTTTAATACTTTTTTTCCACATTGCTTATTATTTGGAAAGTAAAGTATCACATTTGAAATTTATCATTTCAAATTACATCTGATGAGAGCCCAGTTCCTCCCACCAGCACACCCACCCCCAGAGAGTAATTTTTCACTTTGGCTTCTGAAATTCAGACACATCCCAATTTTGTAATTTGTCAGTGAAGTCATTCCTGTTCCTCCCACCTGTGAACATAGAGAATATTATGACTTCAAAAAATCGGGTTACACTATTTAAAACAGATTCCTAAGAAACCCCACAAAAGCCGAAATGCGGTGATGCGAAGAGATTATGATCATTTCCATATAAATAATTTTGAATGCTCCCAAAATATAACCTAGCAACTCATATCCACAACTATGTAAAAGCTGAAATCATACCTACGTTTAGTAAGATCAGAAATACTGTGATGACACCTGTGTTGAGGGAGCGTGGGCGGGGCACTACTGCGCCAGGTGCTGCTCGCCTTTAAAGCAGCAGAACCCATGCTGAGCACGCTCTGCTTTTTTACTGCTGCCGTAAAATTGGTAATCCTTTTTGGTTTTGTCTAGGTCAATTAAAATTGGTACACATGTAGCTCTTTCACAGCAAAGTGGCCTGATAAACTTTCAAAAGTGGGAGATACTGCAGTTTAAAATGCTTTCCAGAAATATACTTGTAGCCACTCAGAAGATATGCTTTCTTTGTTTCCTCTGATGAGTTGGACGTTGGGCTGTGTTGTGTGAGCCAGGTTCTGAACAAAGGTAGGACATTACTGTGCTAACAAACCCTCTTTCCTTGCTTTTGGCATTCTTTTCCTGATCTACATTGTATGAATGTTGGCTATTTGAACCATAGTTTGTCTTTTTCTAAAGAGAAAATTAACTCCTTGCCTTTATTGTTTTACATATGTGTTTGTTGCTGAGTAAGAGAATAGTTTCTGACCATTTTATTCTGAAATAGGATGAAGTCTGAGCCAATTGCATGTTCTATTAATTTCCGATTGAGAATCTACCAAACTGAAACTACCTCCCTGAGTAGCATCATGCCTGCTAGCTTCCTCTTTTTTCTGGCCTGGATTTTAGGAAATAGGTAACAGAAAGGGCGAGGAGCCCCTTGTCTGCAGGCAGGAGGTTGGGCTACTATGCTCTTGTCTTCGCGGTTGGTCCTGGCCAAGTGTGCTTTACTGGGCTCAGCCTCATCTGGAAAAATCATCTCTGAGTTATCAGTCTACTCTTAAGATTTTGCCCATCCATATTCTTCATCTTTGTGTTTGATGAGCTTCATAGATATTTTTATGCACTATGGCAAGTTTAGAAGTGAGCTCAGGTGTGCTTTAGTTCTGCAATTTTTTTTTTTTTTTTTTGTCCAAAGCATTGGACAAAAAAAACATTGTCTTCACTGAGTAAACTCATCAGAGAACTCGGTTGGTGTTGGAGGCAGAGTACGTGCCAGCCAGAGAAAGTCACTTCCATCAGTGGTTTTAGGTTGTTTGGCAGCTGTACATCTAGAACTCAGCATGTAGAAGAGATTGTTCTGGAACAATGTTCTATAACAAAAAACTGCACATTCTGATGAAATTCACATTCTGATTAATTTTGCTTTTTATTCTTTGGTTTCCATGATGAATCTTTAGACCATACTTAAAAAATTTTGAGGGCCTCCCTGATGGCCTAGGGGTTGTGTCTCAGTGTTAATCACCATTGGGGAGGCTCATCTCTAGAGCCTGGATTCTATCCTTGGCCCGGGCACTGGCCCACATGTGGCTCAATAGACCTCTCCTTTCTTGCCTGCTGCTCCCCTTACCAGTGTGGATCTGCCTGCCCTGCTTCCTACTCTTCCTACTCTGTCTCTTACTCCACACCTCTGACCACCACAGTTCTTCTATGCAAAAATAAATAAAATCTTGAAAAAAAATTGAGTTAGTTGGCAACCATACAGAGTTTGACTAAATATACACACTCAATGTGTGTTTTTTTTTTCAGAAAATCAGAACTAGTTTGAGATTACTCATCCCTGTGATAATCTGACAACAGGGGGCAGGAGTTGAGGTGGTTAAAGGAGCATTCTAATGCAACCCAGACCCCACCAATACGTATCTACTCTAGATCTAGAGCAACAGTCCTGCTTTTTTAGTGAGAGGGGCTTCCTTCCTTCTGGAACTACTACGTGTGTGGAAGAAGAGTCTTAGAGGAGTGCCCATGAACATGTGTCCTCTGAGGCACTTTATGATCATGGATTGCAGCAGATAGAACTGTTTACAGGGCTTCTGCATTGAAACTGCAAAGCCAGCTGGCAGATAACCGCTGTTGTCCATGTGAGCTCAGTCCCAGCCTACCAGTCATTTTGGTTGATCACCCAGAATGTCTGAGACTTTTTATTCAAAGGTAAACATCAGTTTTTCCATAAAAATGTAGATTAAGTCATAGAATTAAAAAAAAAAAAACACAAAATCTCCAGTGCTCAGAGATGTAGATCATTCTTTAATTTTATAAGAGAGCAAATTGACCCTCCCTGGTGGCGTAGCGGGTTAAAGCACAGCACTGAGAAGCTAAAGCCACTTCCGCATGAGTTCGATTCCCATCTGCCCCGGAAGTGACCGCATGGCGTGGCAGACCTCTCCTGATCCGCCCACTGCTCCCCTCAGCCATGTACCTCGTCGATCTGTCTGCTCTGCTCCCCACTCTGTCTCTGGTGAAGCCTCTTGCCGCCCCTGAGCCTCTGGCCTGTACCCCAGTTCTGTATGCACAAATAAATAAATCTTAAAAAAAAAGAACAAATTGTGCAAGACCCTGTCATAAATGGCAGAGCTGAGAACTAACTCTTAGATCTGCTGGATTTCAACCTAATGCTCTTTCTATTATTATACCTGCTCACCTCAAAAATATACAAATATCCACGCACTTTGTAAGTTGCCTTTGAGAGAATCCTTTTGTTAAAGGTGTTACATGTGAGCTTTGCTAAAAGGATAAAACTGAATTTCTAGAGAGAATTTTAGACTATCAATTTGACATCAAATTTTTTAAAAAGAAAAAGGGGAGCAGCATAAATTGTAATCAGGGCAAGCTGCAGCCCATCAAGATATGGGGGATGGAAACTGTTGCCTATTCAGTGATTTTTGGTGACCATACCCTCAGGTCCCTGAGAGCCACGGGTGACACAGACCTCAGTGTTTGTAGGAGCAGATGGGGGAATCAAGTCTAGAGAACTTTAAAATGTAAATCTGCTACTTTCCCAAGATAAGCATTACATCACTCTGAGAGGGATAGTAAGATCTAAGATTGACTCTTGAACAGCATGATATGAACAGTGCAGGTCTCATACACCAAT